AAGACTTGGATTAATAATTTTTACCCACTTTAGAGATTACAAATATTATAATTAAATCGTTTTCAGTTATAATTAAAATAAACACACACTATAACATATAAGAGTTTTAAAAATCAAATGTTTTGGTTTCTAAAAAGTGAAAATTTTGTTGCAAAAAATATCGTCGTGAGGATAGTCGCTAAAAAGTCATCTCGAAAAGTTAAAAATAAGGCTTTTAGTGATAAAATTTTAAAAATGTCTCTAATAAATAGATTTTTAGGGACAAAATAATTTGATCTTAAAATGGTTTATTTTTTGAGACAAAAATTTTGGTTCCAAAAGGATAATAATTCATCACTAATATCTAATTTTTGTTACTAAAAATATAATAACGACACTTTTCGCAACAAAATTATTTGATCCCTAAAAAATAATTTTATCCCTAAATTTTGATTTCTAAAATCTTAATTTTTTATAGTGATAAAAAGTCATAATAATCGAATGACACATTCAATATTTTATTCTAAGCATTGGTTTGGGAAGAATTAATTTAACTTGACTTTTTAATTTTTTAATTAATTTAATTAGCTCAATTTAGGATTTTTTTTTATTTTTTGTTTGTTTATTTGTTTAGATGTGATAATTGTAAAAGAAAAAATATAATAATTATAATTTATTTATGACATTTTATCTTATTTATTAAATTAATTTATTTTATTTTTTTATATTTATTTTGTCAATTTAACTCTTACTAAATAAGTCCTAAATACTGTTAAAAAAAAAAAAAACGGGCCAAAAAAAAAAAAAAAACGGGTCCTAAATACAAATAGGAACTTTTCCATGTATCGCAACGATTCATGAGGTGGACACACGTGCCCCATAGACCGGAGCACTATGCATTGGAATTCGCCTTGTCCATTGTATCTTTCCGTATCTTTCCGTCTTCAAAAAAACAGTAGAACCTTCTAAAGATCACTCCACGCGTCCACTTCTCTATTTCAACGCACCCAAACATCAACACGTGTAATAAATTCATCAAAACATGTCTAAAAATGTTACCTGACTCTAAAAATTTTATTAAATATATCATATAGATGTAAAATTTATATGAAACTCACATTATATAAATCTCACATTTATATATGGTATTAATTTTTAACATCTCTGACAATATTCAAACAAATCTCCATTCACTGCACACCCTCGACCTGTCAATTGATTCCTCTATTTTACATCAATTGATATATAGATTAATTAATATGTGATATAATTTTAAAAATTTTAAAAATTTATGTTTTATATACTAACATTAATGCTACAGCCCCAAGAAAATGACCGAATACCAAACTCTTGGATTGCCACCTAAGAAGAGTAGGTCCCACTACTAAACAGCTCTTCCTCTCTCACCCAAAACAAAAAAAAAGTAATCTGTTCTTCACATCCCTCCATTGCCGGCCACCTGTCCACTCGCTTTAGCGAGCCCTCCGGTAATACTTACCCAATTTCACTCCCCCTATGGTGACCCTGTTTCAGCAGCACCGCCCCCTTCCTCCTTTCTTTCTTTCACTCTTTTTCTTTTTCTAGATCTAAAAGAAACCACACCCAGTTTTGCTATTAGAGAAAAAGTTTTCAAATTAATCATCTTGAATCCATACAAGCAATACTGCTTTTCAATTCTAGCCACCACCAGCAAATTCCAATAGTATATTTCATTTTCTCTTTCTAACTTCTCTCTCAATTAAACCCACTTCTATGTGTATTTAACTTTCATTATTCAAACATATTTTCAGAAGGTAAATATCGTTTATAGGATCGAATAAAATAAACATCATTTATGCTATAAAATGTATGGAACACATGAATTTATTGTATATAATTTGAGTATCACAACAACATCAACAAAGATCAATATTTGAAGAACTATTTCCTCACCTGAACTTGGACAAACCAAGTAAAGAAACCCACATATTATTGTTTTGTTTCATATATTGCTTATTTGTGTATTTGTTTGTTTTGATTCATAAATATATTATATATATATGCATATGTATATAAAAAGAGAGAGAGAAAGAGATGGAGTGAAGCTAAAGGGGCAAGTGCAGGTTTGCCTCTTCCTCTGTTTTTTTCTAGATCTAGAAGAACAAAGAAAGGAGGAAGAAGAAAAGCAAGGAAGGAAAGGGGGTGGTGTGACTGGGAGAGGACCACTGAAGAAAGAGAACAATTGGGGAGATCGTCTTTGGTTTAGAGAATAAGAGAACGCCATTGCCATAGAGAACCTTAGTCAGAAGTCGTTTTTAGCTTTCTCAAGAGAAAATGCAGTCAACTCCTCTCTCTAGTTTTTTTTTATTTTATTTTTTGGTATAAGATGAGTGAAGATTCTTAAGAACCCCTCCCTAAGTAGTAAAAGAGTTGCTTCTTTTTGTTTTTTTTTCTTTTTTTTTTTTTAGGTGAGAGCAGAAGAGTTGATTAGTTGTGGGACCCATTCTTCTTAGGTGGCAATCCAACTAGGAGTTTGGTCATTTATTTGGCCATTTCTTTGGCCCTGTAGCATTACTGTTAATATAACGAGTGAGATTATAATTTTACTAGTATTTTATTTGTACAATATACGGTTGTGATTTTTCATTTTAATTTTTTTTTTGGCACAAAAAAAATGAATATAACAAATGCAGCATGTCTTCAATCAATTATTTTATATTTGTTTTTATTCAAAATTTAAAAATAATGTACGGACAAAATTTATAACTAAATTAAGAAAAAAATTATTCCTAACGACATTTTTTTACTTCTATATAAACATTTTTAAAAATAAACCTGAAAAAAATAGTCAATATAAATGTTGTACATTAAGCAAAAAAAATATAGTTAGTAATTATGCTTATATAAATTTATTATAGTTTTGATTTCAAATTTAAAAAAAAAAAACTATTTTAAAAGCATTTTATTTAACTAGTACCAAATTGAATTTTCTTAGCAAAAAGAAAAGTTATAAAATTTTGTTACAAATTTTTAAATGTCTATTGTTAAATATTCTATTCTACTTACTTGTTTGTTTGTTTGCTTATTTTGAGAGTTTTGATCTTTGATCTTGGCGCTACATTTATCGTATTATTTTATTTATTTTTCTTCTCCTTGCCTGATTTTCACATGATACTTCTTTTATAGTTCATTTTCGAATGTATTAGTGAAAACACCACACTTAAAATGCACAAAATTACAATACATAGAAGGGAAAGAAAAAAAAAAAAGGGTAAATCATTGTCCAAAACTAAAGCTACTTTAACAAAAAAATAAAAAATAAAAACAAAAATGAAATTGTTTGAAATAGAAAATGATTTATTTATTTATTAATTAATTTTTTAAAATAAACTTTTTAAAAAAGAAAACTATATTAAAAAAAAATACAAAAATCAAACATAAAATATAATACAAAAAATAAATAAATTATAGGATTTTCAAGAAGTGAGACTTACAAACAAATTTTGTAAAATCTTATCTATACATATGCTTTTTGTGTATATTTTTTTTTACTTTTAATCCTGAGAATAACATTGAAATATTTTACACTTCTTGCATTAGATCCACCTAATAGTTTTAGCAAACAGAGATTTAATAAATTTCATAACACAAAACACGAACAATTGTGAGACAAAGTATCTAAAAGAATAAAAGCAACGTTCAATGATGATGTAGAAGCACACCTGACATTTTAATTGGAGGTATAACCAGATAAACGCCATAGAAGAGGAAGACAACATTTATTTTTTATCACAATAATTACATAACTCAATATATATTTTAATGTTTCTCACTCTTCCACGCGTCCAATTCTCCATCAATATTAGAATGAATGCATGAATAATAATAAAAAAACAAAAAAAAAAGCAATTAAGAAAACAAAGAGACGTGGTTTGGGACCTTTCAATTGTTGAATTCTATTAAATTGGAGGTATAACCAGATAAATCGCTATAGAAGAGAAAGACAACATTTATTTTTTATCACAACAATTACCTAACTCAATATATATTTTAATGTTTCTCACTCTTCCACACGTCCAATTTTTCATCAATATTAGAATGAATGCATGAATAATAATAAAAAAACAAAAAAAAAAGCAATTAAGAAAACAAAGAGACGTGGTTTGGGACCTTTCAATTGTTGAATTCTATTAATTAATATATATTAAGTTTTAATGGTCGGACTTCTAATATTTGTTAGTCATTAAAACTGAATTATTTGGTTTCGATAATTTGATAATGGACATGTGTCAAACCTTTACAGAAATACTTAATACAATTTTTTGAGCAATTTTAATGAAATGTAGAGTGTAATTTTTTTTCCCTTTTTTTTTTTTACAATTGCAACCTGTAACTTTTTTAATTAGAATTTATATTTGTTTTAGATATTTTTTTAATATACAAATTATTTTTTACAGTGTATTCTTTTTTTAAAACAATTGTAACATGTTATTTTTTAATAAGAATTTACATTTATTTTAGATATTTTTTAATATAGAAATTAAATTTTTTAGTTTTAATGAAATGAAAAGTATAATTTTTTATTTTTTTTACAATTACAACATGTTATTTTTTAATAAAAATTTATATTTATTTTAGATATTTTTTAAATATAAAAAATTATTTTTTTTAAGATTTTAATGAAATGCAGAGTGTAATATTTTTTCTTTTTTTTTTTTTTTTAATAATTCATTGTATTCAATTATATAAAAACTTGCTCCTCGAAAAAGAAAAAGAGATATAAGAAGAAAGAAAGACGTAAAAAAAAAAAAAAAAAGCTTATAAGTTGAAAAAAATTAATAAATATTGAGATTTTTATTTTAAATCAAAAAATTAAAAAAATAAGATTAAAATATTAAAACTCTGATAAAACTTATGGGTTAGAAATTTTTTTTTTATTATATAATATGCAGATAAATATAGAGATAGATACACACTGATTGGTGTTATTTCCTGCCTAACAAATCACTGCGGCCGAAATTCCTTACGTGCACCCACCATCCAATTCCACGTGTCCTGCATAAGTCGGTCCAATACACAATATAAATACACAGATCTCCATCCGTATAGACACGGTGTGTATAGTATTATTAGTCTTTGAGGATAGATGGAGAGGCCTACCAATTCAATGAAAAGAGGGAGAAGAGACGGAATAGATAACGGACGTTACAAGGGGGTGAGGATGAGAAAATGGGGGAAGTGGGTGGCGGCGGTCCGGCAGCCCAACAGCCGTGACAGGATCTGGTTGGGATCATACGAGACGGCGGAGGAGGCCGCCAGGGCCTATGACGCCGCCGCCTTCTGCTTACGTGGCCAGGCGGCGATGCTCAATTTCCCTCACTATCCGCCGGAGATTCCCTCTGCTTCTGATCTCTCGCCGCCGGAGATTCAGGCTGTTGCTTCCAGGCACGCTCGTAGAGTTCCGGCAGCAGCAGCGGCGGCGATGCCTGCCACGGCTGATGCGGCCAGGAGACCGACGGCGGTGGATGAGGTGGCGACGTCATTTTGGGAACTGTCGGAACATTTTGGTGGTGGTGGTGGTGGTTATTTGTGATGATTTTTCTAGGACGATAAAGTAGAGGCATTAACGACAGAACTCTTCATCTTTTGTAATGGGGTAGGTGTTTGTTTGGCATCTAATTATTTTTAATGATCTTTTTTTTTTTAAATTATATTTAATTTTTTTTTTCTTTTTATGAGAGAAATTATCTAGTCCACGAAGAATCTGTTCATGCATTCAACCAATGAAATCTTATAATTTATTCACCATCTCGTTATTAGGATTATGTATTTATTAAAGGATAAATTATTAATAAATAATTTTATATGTACTAATTAGTATACACACTAGTGTACTAATAAATGATGTGGTATGATTTTAGAGATTTTGAGTATTTGTAATTTGTATAATAAAAAGGATCATTAATGATATCATAACATTAGTTGGTATACTAGTGTGTACAATAATTAGTGCATGTAGCATCACCGATTATTAATAGATCTTATTTTTAGAATTTATTACCCATTAAGTAATAAATTTATTAGATAAATAAATTTAATTAATATGACTGATTGGTAAGTATCTATTTATTTAACTTCTTATTATTGGTTATACACACAGTGGATATGAAATTACTTCTTAGATAAATTAATTTAAAAAGTAAAAAATTTTAAATTTTAATTATTAAGATAAATAAAAGTCAAATATTTTTTTTTTGAATTTTTTTCCTTTTGAAATTTTTTTCCAATGAACTTTTACATTTGGCTTAGTCAGTAAAAATTATTATAAAAAAATTAGCAAAAAAATCACTAAAAGGCCAATACCAAACACCATTTTTTTTTTATACATAAATAAAGGAATGGTGTTAAATTTATTGTGTGATAAATTTTTATTTTTATTAATAAATTTATAGTGATAAATTTATGAAAAATTTATCCCTAAATCTCATATGGGAAAAAATTGATTCATTTAGTCCTAAGAGTTTTTTTTATAAACCATTGAAAAGTTGGATTTGGTTCCATATGATTTTAAGTGATGCCTTTTTATGATTCATTTTTTATAATTTTCTAATTCATTTTTAGGATAAGAATGGAAAGAAGAGGTGTGAAAGATTCTTTTTGGAGGAATTGTTAGTTGAAATTTTGGTTGTTAAGAGTGAAAAGTTACATTTATGTAGTTGAGAGGAGAATTTATATGTAAATTAGGCCGAGTTGGGCCGTTGTGGGCCTCAGTGCGAGGGGTTGAGTAAAAATGCCATAAAGTTACTCCGGTCCCAAAGAGGTTAGCTTGGTCACCATACTAAAACTTGTACTGGTTGTCGCAGTATGGTTAGTTCGGTCTCTACAGTTAGTTCGGTCATGGCATAGGGAGCCGAAGTATACTGAGCCCTCTTCAGGACTTGGTTTTGGGTTAGTTCGGCTTAAACTCTTCTATGGACAGCTCGGTCTTGGCATGTGATGCCGAGGTAGGAGAAAAGCAAGGAAGAGCCGAACTAACAGTTAGATCGGTTACTCCAGTTAGTCTAGCTTGGCAATGTTATTTCGGTCGTATGGTAGTCCGGCCATGGTAAAACCATCTCACTTGGTTTAAGCAGTGAGAGGGGTGTTGAAGGATAAGCATTATCCTTCAGGAGTATAAATCCTAGGAGGACTCTAGATGGAGGAGTAAGAGTCCTACTTGGATTGTGCCACACGGAACCTATAAAAGCTCACCAATATCACCTATGGAGAGGTAACACAACTTTGATTCCTGAATACACAGAGCTTTTGTCTACTTGTCTGTTTTGCTGACTTAGGCATCGGAGGGGTTTCCGGCACACGCCCGCCGGTTAGCTCACGTTTGTGTTTTCAGGGAGTAAAGCGACAACATTTGGAGGAACGCGGACTTGATCAACAGGATTATACGAGAAGGTTTATTTCTTTCCCGCCAATTGGCGCCGTCTGTGGGAACTCAGACAAGAACAAAGTCTCTTGATCAAGCTTTTCCTTTTTAGAAGCAATGGCGCACAACGAAGATTTGCCGCAGTCCGCCATCGACGGACAAACACCAAGAGGGGGGTGCAAGGCGCGAAGGCCTACCTTCTATCCCTCCCATGGCGGACTTGGAGCCACAGCGACAAAATCCCAGGAGGGATACAAGGGGGAGGAGGCGGACTAACAGCCCCCGTCACTCTCGTTCACGAAGTCCTAACAGACAAAGGCGGAGGATTGATCCTCAAGTTCTGGAGGACCGCGTGAAGGAGCAAGATGAATTAATAAGGAAGATGGCGGCGGACTTGGAGACCATGAAGCGCCAGATGACGGGAAAAGGAGTGGCGACAGGAGAGGGGCGCAAAAGCAAGACGCCTCCTCGCTGTTCAGAAGACCATGGAAGGTATTCCACACCATCACAAGCAGAGAGTAGAAGCCTCAGGACAGGCGATACTCAATCTAGAACCTCCAAAACTCGTTACTCCAGGTCTAAGTGAACGAGATCATTGAGGTCTTACACTGAGGGAAGTACCTATCGACCCTCACGCTCGCACCAGACATCATCCAGGCAGACGGAGTTGCCAAGATCGTCCGATTTGCGGAACATGCTAGAAGAAAAGGCACGAATGAAGGAGGATACTAGGGCGCACAACCCTCGCAGAGTATCTTGCCTTCAGCGGTTTGCTCCTCGAACGCATGGAAACGTCGAGGTCAGAATGCCGTTGCCACGCCCTGCCTACGAACCAACGGACAAAGCATTAGCAAGGCTGCAGACCTCGCCGTTCGTTCTGGTAATTGAAAACGCGCCCCTTTCTTCAGGTTTCCTTCAACCCAAATTCACCACGTACGAGGGGAAGACAGACCCCTACATACACCTAAGCCATTTCTACCAGGTTATGGCGGTATATCGGCGAAACGAGGCTTTGATGTGCATCCTCTTCCCATCAAGCCTTGGTGACCTAGGCTTAACTTGGTTCGAAAAACTTCCAGAAGACAACATAGCCTCCTGAGAATAATTAGCAGAGGCGTTCGTCACGAGGTTCAGAACGAATACCAAAACCCCAGTGGAGATTGACCAGTTACTCTCCATCGACATGGGTGAAAAGGAGACACTAAGATCCTACAATAGTCGCTACTGGGAGACATTCAACCAGATTGGGGACTGCCCCACCAATCTCGCCATTGCACAGTACAAAAGAGGCCTTCCAGTCGGAAACAGACTAAGGGACTCAATCACCATGACACCGCCCCTCACCATGGAGGCCTTGATGGAAAGAATGCATCAGCACATCAGGGTGGAAAAGGATGGCGCCCGTGCCAAAACAAAATCTGGCACGACCGCAGTACCAGATAAAAAGACCACAGCAAAGATCAACGTGGTAGAACGTTCGAACAAAAATGGACAAGGCAGGCGAGACAACGAAGAGGACCAGGATAAAAGATGGTTGAGAATCCGCACAGCCATAACCACAGTATTCAAGAAACCGATCTACCGAATTCTGAGCGAAATACGCAATGAACCTTTCGTCAAATGGCCAGCAAAGCTAGGAGAAGCACAGAAAGACTATGACGAAAGATCGCGATGCACCTTTCACAAAGAAAATGGACACCGCACTGAAAATTGCACGCCATTGAGACAGCATCTGGAGGAGTTGGTGGCAGCCGGTCACCTGGATAAATACATTGAAGGAGGGACGCAACCAGCCCCCCAGGACCACAATAACCCCAATGGAATGCCAATTGACACCCCACCTCAAGGTGTAATCAATGTGATACATGGGGTGTTTCGAACCTGAGCGTGTATGCGAGCTCAAAGGGTCGATCAAGAAGGCTGAGCACTTAAGAGAAGTACTAAGTGCTCAACCTACCATCAAAAAGGGGAGAACAGAGGCCACGAACGTCATGTCTTTTTCAGACAAGGACTTGGAAAGAATATATTGCCCCCAA